TGTCTGTGTACATATATATATATATAAAAACCCTAGAGCTCCTCCAATGCCCTAGCTCTCTCTCCCTCTCTTCCATAGATAGATAGATAGATAGATAGATAGATAGATAAATAGATAGATAACCCTAGAACCCGATCAAAGCCCTCGAGCCTCTATAACCCCAAAAGCTCTTCAAAGCACTAGAGCGCTCTGTATGAAGCCTTATACAACCCGTCGAACCCCCTAGCCTAGAGCTCCCTAATTAAACCCTAGAACCACACCCTGAAGAGCCTCCCATACAGAAGCCTTCTTGAACAAGACTTGAACCGTTAAGAAGGACTCTATTTAGGGTTTGGGGTTTAGGGTATAGGCGGGTACAGGGTCTATAGATGGCAGTCGAGGCACCTCAGACACGTCTGCAGCGGTGTGAGCTGCGCCGGATCGTTTAGTTGCGTGGAGACGGGCTGTTGGTCGGAGTCGGTGCCTTGCTTCCTTGGCGGATTGAGGCTCTCAGGGTCGAGTAGGTTCTTCATTGAAATTTTCAGCATTTATGTACATTTATACTTGTATTGATAGTTTTCTGTATTTGTACCATGAAATTAAACTCGCTAGTTGTACTAGCATATGTCATGTTCTACATTACATAACTAGGGTTGAGGGCTTCAGGGTTTAGGGGGGTCTAGGGCTTCAGGCTGTGGGGCTGTACATGGCTTTAGGCTTTACGGTTGAGGGGCTCGAGGTACCCAGAGAGGCCAATATGCTTCATCATACCGAACACTCCTTCAATCATAGAGGGGTCCCCGATATCCTGTACGGCGGCTCAAGGCAGCTTGGCTTAGGCCGGCGTTCAAGGCGCAACTCTTGAATGTGTTGCACATGGATTGGCTGAGCTGAAACGGAAAAACTTCAGTGTCTACGGTATATCGTTCGACTCGACTAGAGGGTATTGGGTTGTCCGGCAGAGGGGTCGAGGGGTTACTGTCGAGTTTGGGGATAGCTTGGGATCTACCCAGAAAGCTCCACAACACCCCCAAACCCAGGCTCCTTCCGACCTCATTTTGCCATGGCGGAGCCTAAACACCGACCTGGTGCTTGATTGCAGGCACCCTTTTCCACGAAACCGGCAGGTTGATTTCTAAATTTTTTTCCCACCCGCCCAGCTGAC